TGAATTAAACAGTTTAATAAAAAATTAAAGTCAAAAGAAAGGATCCTGTCAAGAGTATAAAGATATAAAGATAATAATAAGGGTAGGAAATTACATAGTCAAATCAAAGTATCATTAAAATAACGTCTAGCATACATATTTATTGTATTGCGTCGGTGGTTCGGTAGTAGTCGAACACTCGCCAACCACTCATGTGATTACAAGCTTCGATCCCCTGGCTGATGCACGCCTAAACCTTGCTTAGCCGACAGTAACCCCCGGTGAAGAAAAGAGGGGTTGTGCGGTTGGACATGCGACGCTATCTACCCGATCCCATAAAATAGAATAACATCACTGTTGCTGGAACCCTATGTTCCTTTTGGAACTGAAAGGAATTAAAGTGTTCATCATGTTAGGGAAAAAAATAATCACGACTTCCATCTAAAATTGTATAAATTCGGTTTTTAATTGGTTAACAGAGATCGCTTCAATGATATGTAACAACTTGGAACTGTTTTGAACTTCAAAGGATTTGAAGGCATTGATTTCATGATGGCAGTCAAACCACTAAAGAACTTTCGCACCTTTCATACATAAGTTTCTTGGAATGTGTGCTTCGACATGTGGTCATAAATTCTTTTTTTCTTCTGTTCGTCTGATAAGTATAACCAGGATTTTCGTTATTATTATTATTATTATTACTATTTCTGGATTTAGTTAGAAACTGTTATCGGCTAGAAAACCATTAGAAAGCCAACAGAGAGTATTGGACAGCGATTTCATCAGCCTGGTTCGGGACTCTTTAGTAGCCCGCACCCACCACCAGGGTTCGAACACAAGACCTTCCGGTTAGAGGACATGATCTGATGGCCAGTCCATGAATTCCAACTTCTGCTAATTCACGATAGAGCGCGACCACTAGTGGGGTAGAGTAGGTCGGGTGTGAGGACAAATATTCGCCACGGATGGCATTGGCAGATAACGGCCAGTAGGCTAGCAGGCATGGTGTGTCTCCGTTCTATAAACCGGGGAGGAGAAGGAAGAAGAGGCTAGAAAAAATCAACCCCTCCCTTGAAAATTGTACTTCACGACTTACCTTGCATTGTGGTTTGTGGTCCTATAGCCGGTTTGGTGGTAATACTCATGTAACTCCGTAAAATCACTTCAGTCAGAATGTCCAATGCTTGACTTAATATCATATTGGTGTTTTAGCTATTTTGACCTTAATGTAAGATATTATAGATACTGTCACAAATTATGCATACTTCATATTGTCTAGTGTATTACTTAATAGCTTTGAAGTGTCAGGTAACGTTTTCTCAAACAATAGTTACTCACGATTACATAGATACTCGTGAAATTGATAATAATAGTAATAAACTGAACTTGTATGTTGGTGAGCGATTAGTTACATTCATGTTCATTCACATTGACAACTAGACATTACCCTTGATTGACTGATTGATTGTGGTTAAATGATGACCATCAAGTTTATGAGTAGACGTTGGATCTTATAGTTGAGCTTTTAGAGATCACTAGATGCGTGATTTGAAGAGACACCCTAGTTTGAATCTCGTTGTGACTGGCTGACTAACTGACTGACTGAGTTTTAACATAGAACTTTGCACAGAAGAGCAGCAGTTTGAGTTGCCAAACTCTGTTAAGCAGCACACAAAGATAAAGGAATGAGATAGAGATTTAAATGAGCTCTATAGTCAACAGTAATACCATAAGAGAGAAAATTGTAAAACGGACTTAATGAATCGCTAAAATTATGAAGAGTGAATGCATTTGCTCCTATGAGTACGGTTTTTAACCATTTTCATTCACCAACAGTCTCAAGTCATTGGTTCCTGGTACATTGTGGTGCCTATTACCAGGCAGTCTATAGCTGGCTGTGTGGATGACTCAAACCCGCTGTCAAAGAATTCATGGTCTGATTTCAGGTTTTGGTTTAACCACCTCTAAACTATTTTCTTTTCCTTCACGTTTCCAGTGGAACATAGAGCTTCAAGCTAGAGGCTTGAAGTTTCTGTAGTATTGTTCAATTTACAGGATGGGGTTGCTAGCCTCATGACCAACCTTTGCTCTTTACCAGCATTATTTCTGGCTTAGCGAGGTGAAGGAGTGCATCGGTGCCTGGGGATCGAACCCCGGACCATTTGTATGGTCGGCGAGCGTCCTAATCGCTGTGCCACCGACGCACTATTAATCAATGTAATTCTATGTTCTTCGAGGAACTTGGTGGCTCAGCGTAAGCAACATGTCACCTGCGTTCGGTGGTAGGTATAATAGGGTGAGAAATATTGAGGTTAGGTGTCGGTCGAGTGGTAGGTAGGTAGGTGGAAGGGGAAATCAATCGACGAGGTTATGAAGTTACATTGATTGAGTTGATTATAACATGTGTTACACATGCGGAGTCGTCGCCTTCCTCGACGGTCAACGTTAGATAACAACATAGGATGAGGTAGGGAAATATCTAGTGGTAGTCAAACCGAAACATGGCTTCATCAGTCAATTGAATCCACAACAGTTAGTTTAAGTCAGCTAGTCACATAGGGAGGTGTCAACTTTATGATTGGGTTGCTATGGATGATGAGCATACTTTGTGTGGTACATGGCGGTAGTGTAGCAACTTGAACTAGTGCACATCTATGCAGTGTTCTACGTTGAAACCAGTAAGTCAGTCAATCGATGTATTCGTATTCCAAAGTACCAGTAAAAATAAGCCTTTTCATTGGATTTCTCTCTTGAGAACTCTTAGGACTTGTATCTACAATAATTTTAGTGCCCTGTTATCTAGTAGTAGTGTGATAGTGTATAGAATTGATTGAATAATACGCCATGATATATTCTTAAGTTAATCACTCACTTTTAAGTATGAGATTCTATTTCAGAAGTTGTTTTTTCTATCGAAGTCAATTTTGAAGGCTCTGAAAAAGTAACTAAGCGTATTGATGACATAATTCCACTTACTTGTAAATTTAATTATGGGTACTGGATGCTATATACTACTGATTGTTCAACCTTGAGTAGTTGGATATCACTCACATTGAGTATTAGTGCTTGCTAGCAAGGTAGCTCTAGCTAGATGGATAGATAGCCAGATCTGACTGACTGACTGATTTCAACATAGAACTTTGCAGTTCGATTCGCCACACTTCATCAATGTAACACACAAAGCAAGGGAAGAAAGTAGAAAAAAATCCATAATAGAGGCAGCACACAGAGATATGAAGCAGAAAGAATAGTAATATTTATTGGGTATTATAAGTTCCAAGAAGTGGATGTATCTGCGCCAGTCATTGAGAACAATCACTTTGAGCCATATCACCAATTGGTGTTTACTGTCCCGAGGACCCCAACCAGGAAGCCAGTCTACACCTTCCTACGTGTCCGGCTGGCTTAAACTAACTGTTGTGGATTCGATTGACTGATGAACCCATGTTTTGGTTTGACTACCACTAGCACTTCTCCCATCTGATTCCTTTTGTCGGCTAACACTGCTCCTTGAGTACGGCTAAGGCTAGGCATGCGTAACACATGTCCTAACCATCTCAATCGATGCAGCCGCTTCACAACCTCGTCTATTGACTTGACTTTCCCCTCCTTACCTAACATTCGACCAATACCTAACCTCAATATTGCTCAACCTGTTACGCCTACAACTGAACACGGGAGATAGAATACAGGCATCTATGATCAAACACAGCCAGCCATAAAGGAGGAGCACAACGGAGAGAACTAATGAGCAGTACACAAGTCTTTCGGTCAACAGTCAGCTGGCCATCACGTTCACTAAGCCAAAGATGGCGTAAGTTGGCTGAGAAACACCGAACCAGCCTTCTGTATCCATAGTGACTGAGATTTCGTCAAAGATCAACGTGGTAGGAGGGTGGCTGATGCAATTCCACAAATAAGTGAAGTGGTTGTCAATGTTCTCTACCGCTTCACTCTCTGTTTCTACTCTAGGAATCAATGTGATCCAGTCATGTAACATCACATCATGTTACGTTTGACTGAGGGAGAGAATCTCATGCCGAACATTCGAAGATTTCTGCCTGTCGCGGTGTTTAGAAAGGCTATGCATCTTTGAGGACTATATCATCTGCATATTGTAAGTTAACGAGATTATTCCCAGATGGTAAGAAGTCAATCCTCAAGTTGATGAATTCAGTTAGTCACTTATTGGAATGAAACAAATCCTATCAGTTAACACTTTTCAGTCACCATGCTAGGCGGTGACTCGCCATCGTGGTGCTCACTGAATTGATGTTAGGTGATTGGAGGCAATCAACAGGAAGACCTCAATACACCGAGCTCTTATGCTTGTTGACGCTCACCAGTCAGTAAGGACACATTAGCAATCTTGAAGGAATTCCTATCCCCTCTGAGGTTCGAACTGGTGTTACCCATTGCTAAATATCAAAGACGTTAACCACGGAGTAGTTTGAACTCACGATCGATTTCCTGTAGGACTACAATGGATACTTTGGATTGGACACTGTGGAGGAGTAGTGGTAGTAGTAGTACCCTGTGGCATTCCTTCAGTTCTCGAGCTGGTGCAGAATTAAATGTCCACCGTGGTGGCGAGTCACCGTCTAGTATGGTGACTACATTGCAAAGTTGACTGCTAGCATTCAGTCTGCACTAAGCAAAGGGGTTATACCCATGACTATATTAATGTCCAGTCAAAGTTTCCAATACAGTCAGTCCTACAGGAAGTCAGTTGCAAGCCCCAATGATAACTATGTATTAACGTCTGTCACTGGAACACTAGGTGACCAACCAGGTTTGAATCTCAGAGTGGACATGAATTCCTTTTGAAGATTGTAGATAATATGCCTTGTTGACACTGGTAAGCGCTAACAAGCGTGAAATCTAGGTGTGTTCAGGACTTCCTGCCGATGGCCTCCATTCTTATAATTAACACTTTCAGTGTGTAATATTTCGTAACTCGTTCTTGAGTAGTAATTTCTGGTTCTTAAACAACCTTTTTTGTTGTGTTTCTCTATTCGTAGGACCGTTGTATGTCAAAAAATCTATGCCGTGGTCATTTTACACAATCCTATAGACCTGAATTCCGTGGATTATTTAGTACAGCTAAATATGTATACGATATAGCCGGCGTGAAAGGCTTTACTCGAGGTATGAGTGCTCGAGTGTTAACAGCTGTTCCTGGTACTGCATTATCCTGGTCAGTTTATGAATATTTTAAATGGCGATTAAAACAACCAACAAAACCACCTTCTGCTGGACCATCAGATTTCACTGGTGCCGGTGGTGTTGGTGGTGTTGCCAGTTCTGGTATTCATAAAATCGATATTTCACCAATGGAAAAGCTGTGTGTTACAGCTAGCTCTACCAGTTGGTTGTCTACTTCTACAGATCTAACATGTACAGCAGCGGCAGCCGCAGTAACTTCAAGTGGTAGTGGTAGTCCTGCGACAACGTCGACGACGACTAGTCCACGAACAAGTAGTATACAGGAGAAAACTCGTTGAGACATTTTCTACTACAACTTTTGATAAAAATGCCACGCCTCCTGTGATGTGTTTGTGATGATCAAGTTGTCAATTGCCTAACATCAGAATCTACTCAATTAATTTATTTAATCTCCGCTTACAATAAAGTGTATACAACAACACAGTCACTGATGGCGGTAGCTGTGGCATTCCTTCAGTCCCACAATAGTCATCTAATTCTTCTCCTTCTCTATACTTCAACAGAAACTATGTACAAAAAATAGCATATCCCTTTTTGTATTATCTCATTTATTTCCACCACGACCACCACCCCCTTGCTACACGTCTTAGGCGTCGTTAATTATTTTGATTTATTGCCTATTCTACGCCTTCTTTCTTTGCACCGTCGTCTTCCTTGTTCTACTGTCGCTTCTGGTTTTTTAATCAGATGCTTTTAAAGCCCCCCACACACATGTACAAAATTGCATCCATTTTGTTTTGTTTTGTAGTAGCGTCCTTCATTCATTCAATCTTTCTTTCTCTCTCTCTCTCTATCTGTCTATCTGTCTGGCTGTCAATCTCCGGTTTATTTCAAGGATAAAACAAAGATCAAGGATCACATAATATTATATACATATACATACATGCGTATAATAAATAGATATTTTAAAGCTGTAGACCCTTTTGACATAATGGTTGTTGTTGATTTTTTTGTCAAACTGCAGGCAGATTAAATTAGAGGGGGGGGGATGTGTAGGCTTAATTTCTGGAGGTGATGCTTTGATTTATCCCACACCACCACCACATGGGTCCAAGGTCGATGATACCCAGCTAATAACTCGCTCTTAAACCTCACCTGATCGATAGTTGTAGTAGAGCACGTTGACCGTTTCACTTATTTTGGAAGTAACATCAGCCAACGCCAATGGGTTGATTTCTGACAAAATCTCACCTGAGTACGGATACAGAAGGCTAGTTTCGCATATGCCAGTTTACGCCACCGTCTCTGGCCTAGTAGACGTGATATTCGGCTGGCTATCGACCAAAGGGTGTTCCTTCCCCTTTTATGGCTGTGAACAAGACCTAGCCATTGAGAGTGGAAGATATGAAAAGATTAGCTATCTGTCTTTGATCCTAGGTGCCTGCGTTCCATTTCCAGTGTGAGGTGGTATAATACGGTGAGCAATATTGAGGTTAGGCATCCGTAGAGTGCTAGGTAGGTGGGAGGGGAAATCAATCGACGAGGCTGTGAAATTACATCGACTGAGATGGTTAAGACATGTGTTACGCATGTGTTATGTACTAGTTTCCCCCGTCGCCAAATTGTTATGTACTCGTCGCTAAATTATTGTTATGGTCTGGTCGAGAAACTAATAGTCCTGACGCGAGAAGGCGGAAATCAGAAGACCACTAGGTTTGCGATGATACTTCTATATTCCAAACACAAGGAGACGAAAATAAATGGTCTCACACCAAAGTGGTAAGTAAGTGTAGTAAAGTAGTTCACACAGAATGCGAAATATATATGAATGTTCCAGACAAAGCGTGGGAACAAATCATTTGACAGTCTTAACATGAATGGTTAATTATAATGGAGTGTCGATCCAAATATACATAGCGAATATAGCAGACATATCAACAACCATATATGGATATACGTCACCAAGCAACGGACTGTCAACAAACACTCATATTATATATAATATAATATAAGGAGAATATACATTGTTAAAGGAGACAAGTTCATACCAGTGAAATGGTCACAGACTAAGAGAGCAAACAGAAACAGAGACCAACATACACACACACACATAAATATATATATGTGGATACATATCAGCATGTATGCCTAGTCATCGCCTTCCTCGACAACAGGCTGTGTTAACTGACATAGGGACAGGCTGGAAAAGAGCTAGCGGTGGTCAAACCAAAACATGGGTTCATCAGTCAATCAAATCCACAACAGTTAGTTTAAGCCAGCTAGTCACGTAGGAAGGTGTAAACTTCCTGATTGGTTCGGGTCCACGGGACGGTAAAAACCAATGAAGGCTGAAGACAATTGGTGATATGGCTCAAAGTGATCGTTCTCAATGGCTGGCTGGTCCAGATGCATCCACTCCTTGTGACTTATGATTTCCAATGAAACTATATTGTTCTTCGTTATTACTATTCCATTGTCTCACACCTCTGTTTACTGTCTCTATTATGCATTTCTTCTCTTGGTTTGTGTGCTACATGTGGGGAGTGTGGCGACTTGAACTGGTGCACATCGGTGGAAAGTTCTATGTCAAAAACAGACAGACAATAGTAAGCCAAGAAAAAGGTTGAGGGTGCGGCCAGTATCTTCGATCTCTGTAGACACAACATCGGTGCGAAAAGTCCAGTGCTCGAACCCCCCCCCCTGTGTTCCACACACTTCGAGGCTTCCAACGCTTCACTTTTGTGGGGAGCACCTGCAACGCCATGTGAAGGCAGTGAATGTAACTCACCTGGCAGAAGAGGTTATGAGGTCTTGTATGCTTGAATCCTTAAACGTTAAATCTCTCAGGCGAAATATTGATTGGATGGAGTTGAGACGAATTTCCAATCTGATAACCTTGAAGCTATTACTATTCAGAGCAAACCAAGCAGGCCTTGTTTGCTTGAATAGCAGTGTATTGTCAAAAATCTTTCGAGAAATATGAGTGTTATTTGTTTAGGTCAATATTGTATTCCCTCCCTGTTGATAGATTACACTGGACTGAAATGTTCGATCTCTGTTGACCTGTCGGCTCTCAGTGCAGGAGGAGGCTTCACAACGATTTCTGTGGATGGACTACTAGCAGTGCGATGCAAAGTGCTACATTTCGTCTTTATCGCGAATCGGCTTTTGAACCTACCTGCAGTCTTCAGTTAATGATAATGGTCCCAGAACTCGTCGTTTCAAATCCAAAGTGTAGCCCAGGAAATGACGCTTTTGTGTGTGAATTTATTGATTGGTGGGAACAGCATCATTTATTGGGGGAGTGCAGTTGTGTATGCAGCTGATGAATCCCAGGTAGGACAAATTGTAAGCATATTTCTACAGAGAATATCTTTCTATAATGTGTCTCGAGAACGACTCCAAGTCTCTTCTATGATAGTAGGCGTATGCATCAGTATTTTTATTGTTGAAGGTCAGGAGATAGAACTTAGGGTTAGTTAGCTTGAGATTAAGAATAAGGGGACTACTGGTCAGGTTTTCAATTTAAGGCACTTGTCTGTGGATGCTCTTGACCTAAAGGCAGCATTCGACTCTGTCGATCGAGAAGTTCTCTGGAGATGCTTGGCTGTAAAGGGAATTCCAAGAAAATATATTGCACCGATCAAGCCACTCACTCTACTCGAGCTCATGCAGTCAGCCAGGTGAGGGCTTACGGCGAGTTGTCATCTGAACTAGTGACGACTAGTGGTGTCCGTCAAGGATGCGCATTATCCGCTTTTCTATTCAACTTCATTATAGATGTGTTAATGGACTTAACCCTAAGTGACTTCAGCGACTCAGGGATTGACTTGCTACCAGGGAGGGAATAATCTCGTTGACTTAGAATATGCAGACGATATAGTCCTTCTAGGCGAAGACGCTGACGAAATGCAGAGTCTTCTAAACACCTTGAGCCGCAATCTACGAATGTTTGGGATGCGATTCGCTCCTGCTGTCAAATGCAAGATGATACAGGACTGGACTACATCGACGCCCAGTTTAAAAATAGGAAGTGAAGTGGTAGAGCACGTTGACCGCTTCACTTATTTGGGAAGTACCATCAGCCCCAACGGGCTGATGTGTGACGAAATTTCAGCATGAATACAGGGGGCTCGTTTCGCACTTGCCAGTTTACGCCGACTCTGGCGTAGACGAGATGTTCGACTATCGACCAAAGGGCGGGTGTACTGCTCATCAGTCCGCTCCGTCCTCCTTTATGGCTGTGAGTGAGACCTGGCCATTGAGTGTGGAAGACATGAAAAGGTCGGCTAGCTGTCTTTTGATCATAGGTGCCTGCGTTCTATTTCCCGTGTGAAGTGGTATAATAAGGTGAGAAATATTGAGGTTAGGCGTCCTGGTCTATGTAAGAAGGGGAAAATCAATCGACGAGGTTGTGAAATTACATAGACTGAGATGGTTAGGATATGTGTTACGTATGCCTAGTCATTGCCTCCTCGACAAGTGATGTTAGCTGACATAGGGTCAGCCTGGAAAAGAGCCAGCACGTGGTAGTCAAACGAAAACATGGCACCAATCAGTGAAATCCACAACAGTTGGTCTAAGCCACGTAGGAAGGTGTAGACTTCCAGGCTGGGGTCCTCGGGACGGTAAAAATCTATGGTTGGAAACAATTGGTGACATGGCTCAAAATCGTTCTCAGTGGCGCAGTATTATGTACTCGTCGCCAAATTATTGTTATGTACTGGTCGAGAATTTAATAGTCCTGACGCAAGAAAGACGGAAATCAGAAGACCACTAGGTTTGCGATGATACTTCTATTTTCCAAACACAAGGAGAATCAATATCACACAAGAGTATGAGAGCAAAAATATATATGAATGTCCGAACAAGTGTGTGAACAAATCAATAGACAGTCTTAACATGATTGGCTAATTATAATAGAATATCGATCCATATATACATAGCAAAATATAGGAGATATGTCAACAAACACACATATTATATGGATATATATCACCAAGGTCAGACTGTCAAACAAACACATATTATATATAATATAAGGGGAATATATATTGTTAAAGGAGACAGGTTCATCAAAGTGAAATGGTCACAGACTAAGAGAGCAACAGAAAGAGAGACCACCGTATATATATATATATATATATATATATATATATATATATATATATATATATTTGGATACATATCACGCAGATGCATCCACTCCTTATGACTTATGATCTCCAATGAAACTGTTTTGTTCTTCGTTATTACTCCTCCTTTGTCTCACACCTCTGCTTACTGTCTATATTATGCTTTTCTTGTACCTTCTTCTCTTGCTTCGCGTGCTACACGG